AGATGGGTGCGGCGTAAGTCAGTATTGGCATGATGGTGCTTGTATAGAGTAGGAGCTTGTTGCGGAGAGATAGGTGGCTGGATTCGGGATATTAAGTTGCATTAGTTGATTCCTGGTGGTTTTAGCTTTACTTATTGCGTATGAGATATGGACGCCCCAGATTAGCTTCGCATCCAGATAAACTCCGAGATATTTGTAGTAGTCCACCCAAGGTACATTTTCATTGTAGAGCTTGAGTGGTTGGAGTTGGCTGTGAACATTCCTTTTTCTGGAAAAGAAAACGGTGGCAGCACTTTTTGCAACATTAATTTTGATCTTCCAGTCAACGAGCCAGGACTCTAAATCTGACAGGTATTGCTGGAGATGATGCAAAGTGTGGTGAAGAGTTGAGTGTTGTGAAATAATGGCAGTGTCGTCTGCATAAAGTGCAAGATCGACAGTGGGTAATTGTGGAATGTCGTTTACATACAGGTTAAAAAGATACGCGCTAATTATTCCTCCCTGAGGGACCCCAGCAAGGATAGGGCGGGGGGAAGAGAGAGAATTTTTAACTTTAACACAGAAATGTCGATTATTTAGGTAGGAGTGCATTAGTCGCACAAAGTCAGCCGAAAGTCCAAGTCGCATGAGCTTGTATATTATGCCGATGTGCCAACACCTGTCGAATGCCTTTGCTACATCTAAATAAACAATAGCTGTTGGCATTCTATTGCGAGCACCCGTATGAATGATTTCCACTACTCTCAGTAGCTGGGCCTGAGTGGAGTGTTTAGCTCGAAAACCGAATTGTTGTGGGATAATTATATTTCGGTTTCGGCAGAAATCTTTCAGGTGTCTAAGCAATATTGTTTCGTAAAGTTTACTAAGAGAGGACAGGAGGCTGATCGGCCTGTAATTTTGAGGGACTTTTGGGTCCGAAGCAGGTTTTAGAATAGGAATTACGCAAGCTTTTTTCCAGCTATCAGGATAATATTTTAGCCTAAGCATAGTATTAAACAAAAATGCTAGGTAAAATATGATTTTAACTGGGAGGTTTTTAATCATGCGATTGTTAATATTATCCAGGCCAGGTGCCTTCTTTGGGGGTTAAGTCACGTATTATGTATGCTAACTCAGACATTGTTGTTTTGAATGGGTTCTTCTGAATCAGGGGCTGTTTCTAGAAAATTATTAACCTGTATTTGGACCTCTCGCCCATGCGGAGTGCAGGTATCGAACAGAGGCCCAGTATTTGGTGAAAATTGTTCCTGTAGACTGTCAGCAAGGCGTTCAGCCTTGTCTGTGTCTGTGATTGCCATCCGGTTATTAACCGTGCCCATTAGGGGGGGAATGTCATTTTTTGGTTTGCGTAGCCGAGCGCTAGCTTCCCAAAGGCTATTATTTGTGGTCTTTAAGGACCTAAGATAAGAGTTAAATTTATCATCAGAATACCTTTTGATGTCAGATTTAATCTCGTTCTGGAGTCTTCGTAGTTGTGTTCTGGTAGTTTCGAACTCGGGTTCTTTGCCAATCTCTACGAAGACGGTTTTTAATTTTGATTTTATCTTTAATGTAGGCCGGGAGTTTGGAATAATTTGGTCTAAATTTAGGGAATGAGGCCGCATCAAATGCACTTTTAATTGTGCAGGTGAGTTGCTCAATAGAGTTATCAACTTCATGATTATTGCTAATTTTGAGGGGGGGAAGATTTTTTGAATTCAAAATATGCCGGAAATTGTCCCAATTAGTGGAGACTTGCGCCGGTAAATTTTGATTAATTTTGACACAGTTAAGGGTAAGGTGAACCGGGTAATGGTCACTTGACAATTCCGGTAATCACTTGTATCGAATGATCTAACGGTATATTTTTGAACAGAGCCAAATCAATAATAGATGGAGCACCTATGCCTCCAGGAAACTGATAATGCGTAGGTACTCCTGGCGCAATAATTTGGATGTGGGCGCCCTGAGCCCAGTTTTTTAATTTGTCACCATAGTTATTGGCAGTGACGCAATCCCAATTTCTATGGCGGGCATTAAAATCTCCTGCAATAATCATGTTATTTAGGACTCCGCTAAGTTTTTTAAGGTCAGGGAGAAAGTTTGGTCCCTTTCTTGGAGGCATATAGCAGGACGCTACTGCTATGGGGGGTAAATTTTGAATATAAATTTGGACAATAGTTGCTTCGAGAGCCTCCATGTGCGGAGTTGGAATTCTGCTGTGTTTGACAGTGCGTTTTACATAAATAGCAGTGCCACCACTAGCGCGAATAGCGTCACTGTTACTAGCCGCTCTATCATTGCGGTAGCAGTAATAATTAGGAATATTGGCGCTACGTTCCTCAACCAGATGGGTTTCCTGAACAAGGAAGAGGTCCACAGCATGCTCACTGATATAATCCCGTAATTCGTGTATTTTGGGAAGAACGCCGTTCGCATTCCAGAAGCCGATGAGTAAGATTGTCTCTATTTGAGGCGTTGAATGTTGTATTTTAAGCTGTGAGAGCACAGTAACTTTCAAAGATGTAAAATGCTCGCTCCGGTCCAGAGGTAGCGGATTTAAGTTGTGGAAGAGCCTTCCGGAATGCTGCTAGTAACAGGTTCTGGTCGATTCCAAACTCCCTTGAAATTTGAAAGACACTCCTGAGTGTGTCTGTGCAGGAGTTATCATCTGGAGCTGCAGTCGGGGCTAGAACCTGGGCCGGTGGTTTCTCCAGCGCAGGAACAGTCACAGGAACAGTAGAGATGTTGGGTGCTGCTGCATTACTAGCAGGAACGGACGTTCTTCCGGGATTTGTACGCTTATTTGCTACAACTGAGGAAAATAAGGGGGCCGTGCTGCTAAATGGAGTAGGAGCGGGAGCGGGTACAAAATTTTGTTTCCCGGCACCTGGGATTTTCGAAACAGGGATTAGGTGAGATCCTCTGTTTCTGGGTCTTGTTGCTGGATTTCTTGGACAGTAGTTCCAGTTGGCTGCGTGTCCTCCTGAGCAGTTTGCACAAACGTTGGGCTCCTCAAATGGCTTGGGGCAGTCCCGGGCAAAGTGAGGTCCAGCGCATCGCAGACATCGGATGGGAAGCGTGCATACAGCACTGGAATGAAAAAAATCCTTGACATCTCCAGCACTGGGAGACCTTTCCTTTACGGCCACGGTGTTTTTCGACTTGTATGTCCATGCCGAAAATTTGAGTTTCTTCGAAGATGTCATATACACACTGATTGTTGGATTTAGTTGTATAAGAAACAGAGGCATTGGGTGCCGGGATTTGTAACGTCTTAACTGCGTTACGCTTATCACACTGTAACCCATCAGAGCAAGTTCAGATTTGATTTCCTCCGTCTCAGTTTTCACCGGGAAACCCCGAATGATCACTTTGAGGGGACGATCCTGTTTCAGATGGAATGATTTGTATTCCGCGCCCTGATTTCTCAGGACGTGGTCTACAGATCGATACTCCTCTTCAGAGGTTACTGTGATTCTTAAATAGTGGCCTTTCATTCGGCACTGTGCTTTCGGTACAGTTCGCTGTACAACTTTAACTAAGAATTTCCAGTCGTTCGGAACGACAAAAAAGTGCGGAATATTCTTAGCGGGAGGGGGAGGGGGAGGCCCGCTTTCGCTCCGCTCCGAGGTTTCTTCCTGAAGTTCTCCTTCCTCTAGTGAGGGGGGGGAGGCAGAACTGGTTTGTTCACTCCTTTCGCTCCAAGATGGAGGCGAAGAGGAAGTGGTTTCCTTTGAGCTTTGCTTTTCATTCTCTTTATCAAGTTCTTTTAGGGATGACTTTTTAGCGATAAGGTGTTTAGAAGGGATTGAAAACCCCTCAGAATCAACTTTCGGCTTTTTTTGGGGTGGTTGTTTTGCTGTTAATTTGGCTTTTGTGGGTGTTGTTTTTGGCGTAGTATTCGATGCTTTTTTAGGCGATTTCAGATTATATTTTTCTCGATGATCAAATATTAGTTTGGCTGGTTTGACAATATTATTTTTAATACTGCTATTGGAATTATTACTATTTTTCTCTGATTGGGGCATCTTTTTTACAGATTTCGAGATAACATCCAATTGAGAATCACTATCAGGGGGGTTTTCGCATGCGCGAAATAATTTTTGGAAAGCACTCTTCTTCTGTGCTTGGGATTGCGAAAAGGGGGAGATTTAAGCGTTTAGCAAGAGAGGTTAGTGAAAAGAGTACTACCTGTGACTCCTTTTCGACTTGCTTGAGATCGAAGTGCTCGAGCGGCGTCGTCCTTCTTGATCTGGTCAGCGTTGATTCCAGCTCTGCGAATCTCGATTTAAGTGCATAAAGTTGCTTAATCTGCAGGAGCAGATTGTCAACGATTACTTCTTCTTTGTTGATGGTCGGGACAGGAACTTCCTTCACTGGCTCAGGTGGAGGAGAATCGATATTGATGGTCGTGTCCATAGGCTTCGGTGAGTCTACGGGGCCGGCCCGTGCGTCCGGCGTTGGCGAGGGAGGAGGCGAGGAGCTCATGACGAAGCGTCTGCTCTCTTCGGTGGCTACCCTGCGAATGCTTGACTTCGGTGATCGGACGAGAACCGGTACTTTCAGCATGGTATGGCCGTTGACGCTTACAAATAGCGAAATAAACAATATGTAAGTAACCCAAAATTCGAAGTTTTAGAGTATTACTTCATTTTGTGCACGTCTGTCATATACTTTTATCAATAAGAGGGGTTTTATCCGTCATAAGTACTTCCCATTGGAAAAGAGATTTCCCCCCCCCAAGGGAAGAACAAGAAAAAAAAAAAAAAAAAAAAAAAATCAATAAATTAGAAATTTAAAAAAATGTGGCTCAAAACTATAATCCAGAATATCAGTAATATGAAATTGTAATAACAATAATTTGTATATATATGTATTATAATGAACCTTTTCTCTCCAAGATAGGCTGTATTAGAACGTTTCTCATTGGATGGAAATGAAAAGAATGAAATTCAATAAATATGCTGCATCCAATGTGCCTTTTTTGGATTTTCAGTTCATTCGAAGACTGTTAAAAAATGCCTCCTCAAGCATCTGGGAAAGCTGTAAAGAAGGCCGGAAAGGCACAGAAAGCTGTCCGAGCTGGTGACAAGAAAAAGAGGAAGAAGCGCAGGAAGGAATCTTTCGCTATTTACATCTACAAAGTTTTGAAACAAGTTCACCCCGACACTGGCATCTCGAGTAAGGCTATGTCTATCATGAATTCATTCGTTAATGACATCTTCGAAAGAATTGCAGCTGAATCTTCTCGCTTAGCTCATTACAACAAGAGGAGTACTATCACTAGCCGAGAAATACAAACTGCAGTACGTCTATTGTTGCCTGGTGAACTGGCAAAACATGCTGTTTCGGAAGGAACCAAAGCTGTCACCAAGTACACCAGCTCTAAGTAAATTTCAATTTTCAAAGCTTTCCCCATCAAAAAAGGCCCTTTTCAGGGCCAGAATATGATAAAGGTTAGCTGTTACCTGCTTATCCTTAAATCACTCATTGTTCAATTTATAATTTCATATTGGCATTTTTAAAATTAATTCACACTCTTTGCAAAAGAAATTGATCATATATATTTCAGCTCTACAAGTCATCATCTTTATCCTCATTGCTCTGCATCCAATTTCTTATCTTCAAAATGAGGATCTAATACACACACAATAACCGAATAAGGAAAAATTGTACTTTAGCAGTTAGTCCCAGCTCACTTATATACACACTGCTTTCCGGAAATCAGCCTTAATACATTTCAATGCAGGTGGTTTTTCATAAGTTTGCTATTTATCAAAATGTATGCATATCAGTGTCATAGTTTTCAGGTGTACGTATCACGAATCGTTTCACTAGCTCAGTCACAGCCTTTCTCCGAGTAACTGGAACGAAAACATTCAATGGTATGCAAAGCATAGCAAGTGCTGGCGGGACAGGAAACTGGCTAGCCTGCCCAGACGGGACAGTGGTTAGCGAAGCTAACTGCCGGGCCGGAAGGCCCGGGTTCGAATCCCAAAGGGGGGCAGGAAGGAAGGAAGGTAGGGGGGTGGGGTGGGGATATCATCTGGATGAAATTGCTTCTCCGCAAATAAATCATATTTTTTTAATTAAAAAAAATTTAATTAAATATTTAAAAAATTCAGCTTTTGCCGGTTTATAAATAATAAACTATGATGCATCACAAAATGCTATCTTTTGTCACTGCTTTGCTTTCATAAATCCTCGCATGTTTCGCAAACGGTTTGACCACAGCCTTTCTCCGAGCCTATCGAAAGAATACATTCAACAAAGGTAAGATATAAGGAACATTTCTTTCTCTTCGTGGCCACATTTATAATTTATAGACTTATTTTTCACATTTGCCGCATTAGAAAATACAGTCGTTTCCTCAGTTTCAGAACATATCATTTCCTTCGTTGCCACATTTATAATTTGTGGACTTACTTGTCGCATTAGAAAATACATTCATCTCCTCATCGACTTCAAAAACTTTTCATTCACTTCGCTATCGCATTAGAAAATACAGTCGTTTCCTCAGTTTTTCATTGATTCTACAACTTAATACAAATGTGACATTTCTGAAACCATTTTTCATTAAAAAAACCCATATTTAAACATTTTTATTGATTAAAAATACATATTTTGACAACATTTCATACCACGAACATTGAAATTTCATGCCACAAATCCGATATTTCATCCCACAAACAATAAAAAAAGAAACCGCACTAAAAATACATATTTTAACAACATACAAATAGGTCACATTTCATTTCTTCTCTCTCTCTAAAGTGGTTCTGCTGTGAACCCATCCAATAGCAAAAAACATCAATCAATAAAAATTGCAAGTTGCAGTTTTCATTGATTCAGTTGCAGTTTTTCATTGATTCTAGAACTTAGTACAAATGTGACATTTCTGAAACCATTTTTCATTAAAAAAACCATATTTAAACATTTTTATTGATTAAAAATACATATTTTGACAACATTTCATACCACGAACATTGAAATTTCATGCCGCAAATCCGATATTTCATACCACAAACAATAAAAAAAGAAACAGCCTCTAAAAATACATATTTTAACAACATACAAATAGGTCACATTTCATTTTTTCTCTCTCTCTAAAGTGGTTCTGCTGTGAACCCATCCAATAGCAAAAAACATCAATCAATAACAATTGCAAGAAATTGGGTAATATTCACTAAACACTACTGCACGCATTCTGGGAACTGTGAGATGATTCCATCTGCTTTTAAATGAGCTTTTTTTGAGATGTTTGATTAAATGAGCTTTTGAGTAAATTCTTCAAATATTCTAATTATTACTCAAATGAGAACCGATAATGATCACATCAATGAATCATCCTGCTGAATCCGCTCAGAACATGCATTCTGAGTTTCATTTCAGTAATGCAGTTTATCCATATCCATAACATTTATCTTTCATGATGCAGCAGTTTCATTCAGCAGTTTATCAGCAGTTTCATGCAGTTTTCATTTCAGTAATGCAGTTTATCCATAACATTTATCTTTCATGATGCATACCAAGCGTTTCAAAATTACAGTTTTATCTTTCAACATGCATACCTTCAAAGACATTGATGCACTATCAAATAAATACAAAATTTTTCATATACACAGCAAAGTATTCACATGTACATACATAGTAAAGTATTCAGGGTTTTCATATACATCGTAAATACGAAGTATACAAATAAAGATGACATCAAATAAATATTTTTAACATAAAAAAATATTGAATACAAATACATAGAATACAAATGAAATACAAATACATAGCACATACGCAGTAAAGTCTGTCTGACATGAAGATGCACTATATTAAGTGGAAGACTTCACAAAGCATTTAGAATTATGGGATATTATTTTTTTCACAAAACAATTATTATTATAAACAATAAACATTTACACAACAGGAAAAAAAAATTACAAGACATTTCATACGAAAAACCTGGTCAGGCAAAACATAAACAATGAACACTAAGAAGGAAAAAATTGTTTGGCAAATTGCTTTCATCATACAAATATTCATATTACTTATAGACAGCTATTAATATTCATATTACTTATTACAAATTGAAAATATAATCTTAAATGAACTTACCTTCCAATAAAAACTATATTTAGTTCAATATCCTACATTTGGTTGAATTAAAACATAAAACATCACATGCACCATCTTGCTACACCTGTATGACCTGATCTGACCACTTTATCAGCTGAGGGGTCACTTCAGGACAATAGCATTGTTTTGAGGAATGAATTCTATTGGATGTTTCCCACCCACAAACATATATTGAGGGATGTTGTATTTCAATAGCTGTTTATAGACAGTGTAAGTGGCAACAGTTTTATTTCCTCACTAAATGCCAACAGAGAGTGATGATTACAGTGCATTCCTGCAATATGTTTTTATTCTGTGTTATATTATGTGTGACTTGATTTAGTGTAGAAATAAAATGTATAAAACCTTTTGTTTGTCTTTTTTTTTCCAACATTTATTTTCAATGAAAGACAGCCATACCTATAGCAACTTACTTGGATAGTTATTTATGTTTAAAGAATTTAAATATATATATGCAGATTTGCTGCAGCACAGCATTTCTTCTAATCAGTAGGGGTATAGCTTCTCTGAAAAGTTATTGTTTTAACATTTAGTAAATTGGCTAATGCATTGACAGGATTACTTAAAATTTATGAATTATTAATTTCAGTATCTGATCTTTGTCAACATTTAGTTCTAAATTACTTACTTTCCGTCTTTACTACTGATAATTTTTCAGCAGCTAAATGCACGAAAATACTAGGCATGTGTGATATGAATTGAAGAACTACCAAGTTCAGTCAAGTAATCAGTGTACACACACATCACAAACTTAACAATATTTATTCAATGAATACTACTTCACTGTTCCGAAAAATAGAGTTCAATAAATTAACTGAGAAATAAATTTAAGAGATTTCATATAACCAAATTTTGCCAAACTACCTCAGTGCAAGGCAAAAAATATAGGCAATTGAAGAAAATGGAAAACAACAACAACAAAAAAAAAAAAAAAAAAAAGGAGATTGCATTATGTTTTCTTTTCTAAAGCTCAATAACTGTTAAAAATGTCAAGAAATCAACTACGTTTTCGGTATGTACAGCACTTACAGCTTCTTTAGGGATTTTGTTGTAACTGAGAAGGGTTTGAAGTGGATGAGATGTTCTGGCGCCAGTGAGGAGTTCCCCTGACTGGCTAATAGGTAGATTTCGCTTCGGGTATCTTGGATGCAACCGGGATAGAACACTAAATTGGAATTAAGGAGTTCTTAAATTCTCTTTTGGTTCACAATATATTCATTCTTGTGCAGATTTTTCTACAGCACTTGTGCTTACCTATTCTGGCGAAGAAATGTTGACCGTGTACTGTGTACCTTTTATACATTCATATTATTTAATTTTTTTTTTTTTTAAAGTAAGTATATATACATTCAAGTAAGTATATATACATTTTTAATTTTTTTTTTCGTATACACAACTAGTTACTCACTCTACTTGTAGTAGAGTGCATATATAGGTAGTAGTGCATATATACAGTGAAACTATATGTACAGTAGTAGTAGTAATAGTACAGTAGTAGTACGAGTAGTATATACAGTGAAGTAGTAGGAGTGCATATATACAGTAGGAGTGCATATATACAGTGAAACTATATGCCAGAAGTTTGTATAATGAAGCATTTCGCTAGTTGAAAGAGAAGGAATAACCAGTAAAATTAAATGTATATAATATACATTAGTTTTAATAAGAATAATATTCTGTAATTATGAATACTTGGTCATGAAATGCTTTTACTCAGTACAGTAAAATTTGATATAACAGGTTTAAATAATTTAGAGAAGAATCAAGAGGAATGACAATTCATGTTTCAACGATGAGTACGTAACAAATATTGCGAGGCTACGATTCTATTCGGATTCAAAACTCGGGATCTGATTGGCCAGACATAATAAGTACAGAGTTGATAAAAATGTCTGTCCAGGACCGTCGCCAGTCATTATTTCGTATACCCCACAAATAATATCGTCATGTCTGGTCGTGGAAAAGGTGGCAAAGTAAAGGGGAAGAGCAAGACTCGGTCCAGTCGTGCTGGTCTTCAGTTTCCTGTAGGTCGTATCCATCGTCTTCTGCGAAAGGGAAATTATGCAGAAAGAGTTGGTGCTGGAGCTCCAGTGTATCTTGCTGCAGTTTTAGAATATTTGGCAGCTGAGGTTCTTGAGTTGGCCGGTAATGCTGCTAGAGATAACAAGAAGACCAGAATAATTCCAAGACATCTGCAGCTGGCCATCAGAAACGACGAGGAGTTGAATAAATTACTCTCTGGCGTCACAATTGCACAAGGTGGAGTTCTACCCAATATCCAGGCTGTTCTACTTCCCAAAAAAACCGAAAAGAAAGCATAATTCCTACTTCCCCTAACGCTTCAAAAAAAAAAAGGCCCTTTTAAGGGCCAGAAAATGTACGAAGAAGAGAATGAATGCTTAATTGCTTATACTGAAAATTGCAGCATACGTTGGTAAATCTTTTCCATACATATATTTCATTCAAAATTCGCACAAAGATGTGCTCCCAGGACACATTCGTATATATTTTCATGTACATTATAAAACATTAACTCATGGGACTCGGAAAGAAAGGCTAATGCTAAACTATAGGTGAAGGGAGTTTAAGGCGCATCTGAGAAGTGGCGCCATCTTGCTGTATACATTTGTACTGAAAAGTCGTTCTATTCTTAACTTTCGTAAGTTATTACAACGCATAGTTCGGTGTTTTAAGCCCCTCTTCAGAAATTACAAATAATTTAATTAGATGGAATAATTGCTATCACAATAGATTTTTATTTAAAAGAATGATGTAATGTAAAGTAAAACAAATTAATATAAAAAAAAAGACGGAATACATGACAGCAATTATATTGAATCTTATTAAATTATTTGTATGGCCCTGAAAAGGGCCTTTTTTCTTTACTTTGAACAAATTATGATTTTAAGCTCTCTCTCCTCGAATTCGACGGGCCAGCTGAATGTCTTTGGGCATGATGGTGACTCTCTTGGCGTGAATAGCGCACAAGTTGGTATCTTCGAACAATCCTACGAGGTAAGCTTCGCTGGCTTCCTGAAGAGCCATAACTGCTGAGCTCTGAAATCGGAGATCGGTCTTAAAATCTTGAGCAATTTCTCTAACTAAGCGCTGGAAAGGCAATTTACGGATAAGTAATTCCGTTGATTTCTGATAACGACGAATTTCTCTCAAAGCAACAGTACCTGGTCTGTAACGATGAGGTTTTTTAACACCTCCGGTTGCTGGTGCGCTTTTACGTGCAGCTTTGGTGGCCAGCTGCTTCCTAGGAGCTTTACCTCCGGTACTTTTCCTTGCAGTCTGCTTAGTACGAGCCATATCGAGAGGTCACGATTTCGTTAAAACGAGAAAATGTGCCCGCGAAATTTAGACCTGGCCTATTTATCAATTTTATTTCCAATCACGTGACTAAGGAGACCTATTGCAGACGAAAGATTTCTAAGCGCCACCTAGCATTATTGTATAACATTAATGTAACTCAGAAATTTGATTCATTTCTCTGCAAAACTGTGAGCGAGATGGCTGAAGAAACTGCTACTGTTTCCGCTACCCCTGTGGCTGCTACGCCAAAAAAGGCGAAGAAAAGTCCGAGTAAGAAACCGAAAGCGCTGCCGTCGCATCCTAAGGTTTCAGCAATGGTCGTGGAGGCTATTTCTAGTTTGAAGGAACGCGGTGGCTCATCTCTGCAAGCTATTAAGAAGCATATTGCATCACATCACAAGGTAGATATTGACCGTTTGACACCTTTCATCAAGAAGTACTTGAAGAGTGCTGTGGCGGGTGGAAACCTGGTTCAGACAAAAGGTAAAGGAGCTACCGGTTCATTTAAAGTTAGCGCATCCGGTCAGAAAGGTAAAGAGTCAGGAAAGCAGGAAAAAAAGCCGAAGAAAGCAGCTGCTGCATCATCAGCCAAGAAAGCTAAACCAGCTGCTAAGAAGCCAGCTAAGGCTAAAGAAGAGAAAAAGAAACCTGCCACTAAGAAAGTTAGTGTAAAAAAGGCGAGTAAAGCAAAAAGTCCTAAGAAAGCTGTAAAGGCAGCGAAGCCTAAGCCTCCAAAAGCAAAAAAACTTAAAGCTGCTAAAAAGGCGACACCAAAGAAAAGCAAGAAGTAAGGGATTGTGTACTATAATGTACAAATGAAAAAAAAAAAAAAAAAAGGCTCTTTTCAGAGCCATACAAATTTTAAAAAAGAAATGCCTTTATTGCTTCTGAAGAAGAGAGTCCTATGTGTGACCACTCTATATATTGATACTTTTTTTCAAAGATTTAAATTGAGAATTTTTTTAAAGTTTAAAATGTTGTAATCTGGTTACGTGCTTTAAAATTTTAAATTATACGTCTTTTTTTTAATTTAGAGACATAAAAGCAATTAAATTTATTGTGTTAGAATTCAGATACATAAAAAGAACATTTAATGCTAATTTTAATTTGAAATGTGACTCAAGAGAAAAGCATGAGGTGAAATTATATGACAGCAATAAAGGCATTTCTAAATTTAAGATTTGTATGGCCCTGAAAAGGGCCTTTTTTTTTTTTTTTTTTTTAAAGAGCAGGGTGTGGGGAAAGTAAAGGTCTCTAACCACCAAATCCGTAGAGTGTACGTCCCTGTCTCTTTAACGCATAAACGACATCCATGGCAGTGACAGTTTTCCTTTTTGCATGCTCAGTATAGGTAACTGCATCTCGAATAACATTTTCCAAGAAAACTTTAAGTACTCCTCTTGTCTCCTCATAGATGAGGCCCGAGATACGCTTTACACCGCCACGTCTTGCCAAACGCCTAATTGCTGGTTTGGTGATTCCTTGGATGTTATCTCTTAACACTTTGCGATGCCTTTTTGCACCCCCTTTGCCAAGACCTTTACCACCTTTTCCACGGCCAGACATTTTCTGCTAGGTAAAATTCTACGAATGTAACTTTCAAGAATAAATTCAGATATACTGCCGTCGACCCCAGACGCACGCATTTTTATGCTTTTTGTCACGTGACGAAATTAGTGTCTGTTCGACCAATAAGAAGAAATTATTAGGAGGGTGATAGAATTACAAACAATTAATGTCATTTCCATCCCTGTCTATGCTCCCTAGAATATTTTCCTAGTTCTTTTAACAGTTTTCTATAATACTTACGGTATTATAATCCAAAAGAGTTCTGAAGTACATGAAATTTTATTCCTGCAGGATGAACTAACTCCGCCCACACAACAGGGGAAAAAAAAATTAATAATCATAGAATATATTAAAATTTCGGTCGTTGTCGAAGCCCTAGAGAAAGCTACTCAAACACTGTGTTGATTAATAATTAAGGAATTTGAGTTCACTACACAGATATTAAAATATTGTATATTTAAGTAGAGACAAAATATGAAATACCGCTGTCATCGTAAATGTAGCATGTGTAACTACGTGGTATTTAATATAAAGGCAATGCCAATGTTATTTACATCTACGTTATTATATACTTATATTAGGGGAAGAGGTATCATAAAGTAAGGTTCTTCCCTTTTTTTATTTTAAGAATTTTTAATATACAGTCAAGAACTTTCAGTTTTATTTATATTTACCTTATTTTCTGCACAATATACAAGCTTGCATTTCTTCAATTGTAATATAGTACAGGTTTCCTATAATATAAAGACAAAAAAAAAAGTATTTTAAATGATAATTATTACTAAGGGAGCATAAAAATTTGCAAGGGGACAAAAAAGTGTCAACAGCACGCGGTGTTCCCAGGTGGTCACCCTCCCAAGTACTGACCGCGCCCGATGCTGCTTGACTTCGGTGATCGGACGAGAACCGGTACTTTCAGCATGGTATGGCCGTTGACGCTTACAAATAGCGAAATAAACAATATGTAAGTAACCCAAAATTCGAAGTTTTAGAGTATTACTTCATTTTGTGCACGTCTGTCATATACTTTTATCAATAAGAGGGGTTTTATCCGTCATAAGTACTTCCCATTGGAAAAGAGATTTCCCCCCCCCAAGGGAAGAACAAGTAAAAAAAAATCAATAAATTAGAAATTTTAAAAAATGTGGCTCAAAACTATAATCCAGAATATCAGTAATATGAAATTGTAATAATAATTTGTATATATATGTATTATAATGAACCTTTTCTCTCCAAGATAGGCTGTATTAGAACGTTTCTCATTGGATGGAAATGAAAAGAATGAAATTCAATAAATATGCTGCATCCAATGTGCACTTTTCAGTTCATTCGAAGACTGTTAAAAATGCCTCCTCAAGCATCTGGGAAAGCTGTAAAGAAGGCCGGAAAGGCACAGAAAGCTGTCCGAGCTGGTGACAAGAAAAAGAGGAAGAAGCGCAGGAAGGAATCTTTCGCTATTTACATCTACAAAGTTTTGAAACAAGTTCACCCTGACACTGGCATCTCGAGTAAGGCTATGTCTATCATGAATTCATTCGTTAATGACATCTTCGAAAGAATTGCAGCTGAATCTTCTCGCTTAGCTCATTACAACAAGAGGAGTACTATCACTAGCCGAGAAATACAAACTGCAGTACGTCTATTGTTGCCTGGTGAACTGGCAAAACATGCTGTTTCGGAAGGAACCAAAGCTGTCACCAAGTACACCAGCTCTAAGTAAATTTTCAAAGCTTTCCCCATCAAAAAAGGCCCTTTTCAGGGCCAGAATATGATAAAGGTTAGCTGTTACCTGCTTATCCTTAAATCACTCATTGTTCAATTTATAATTTCATATTGGCATTTTTAAAATTAATTCACACTCTTTGCAAAAGAAAT